GGGGTAGAAGTGATGGGGTCTTGGCATGGGATAGGAGAACAAATCTGTGAAGTCACTACGGTCCACTGTGACAGCAAAAGCAGCAGAATCAGCATCCAATAGGGATGCTTTGCCGACGGGCACTCTGCATTTAAGGCTATTGTGTGGTCGATGCCATTGGTGAAGAGTTCTGGCTCTTAGCTGGGTGACAAGTGTGCAAGAATCCGGGAGAAGGGACGATTCTCCATGCTCCCTTCCCTCTGCCCCACCACACAGCGTGCCCAACTGCTGGCTCTCAGCATCCCATGCCACAGGCTCATGCTCTTTTACCCTCTCATGGTGGCGATTCTGCTTGCCACGGCTGTCGGCATGAAGGTCCCTGTACATCTGTTGGCAACAAAATAGAAACTTAAGCTCCATCCCAACTCTATTTGGATCTGCTAAGGAACAGTGGGAAATTTAGGCAAGAATTCACACCCCAGCCCCAGACTTCCCCAACTAACTATGCATAATCCCGCCTGTATCAAATTCCCTGATCTGGGACATCTTTCTATACGGCTTTTCTGCCCACCTGCCTCCAATGAGGCGCCCTACGTAGACAAGGGACTATGGTTAGTGCCAAGGTGGAACACGGTGTCTCTCACACAGCAGCATAAGATTGAAGGCGTGCAGTGGAAGGCTTGGTGGGGGGCAGGTTGGCAGGGAAGCTTTCTACAGCAAGACCTCAGAAAGGAAAGGTGGGGAGATGGAAACTGGGTGAACAAAGGACCGTCACAGAGGCCAGAGGAAACTCCGGGGCGGGGGCAGAGTAGGCCCTAAATAGGAACATGGAAGTAAGGCACAGCTTACTGTAGGGCGAGGCACGTGGAGACCAAAAGCTCTCTCAGTTAATACCCAGGTGTGAGTGAGATCATGGAAAATCCTAGGACAGGCACGAGGCTGCCTCAGCGAACAGAGGGAAGAGCAAAGATGAGCAACTGTGGGGACAGGAAGACCACACTGTCCACTAAAGATAACCTGACAGTGTCCATCCTCGGGAGATGGAAGCCAGTGTCCCAGGCGGCTGCCCTCATCCCCCTGACATGCTGCGGGGGAGCATGAGCCCAGAGCCTGCCTCCGGACTTCTCACGGCTCCCATTCAGTTCTGGTCCGCTGCTCAGCTGGAGTCTTGCACAACTCCTTGGCCTCTCCATCCTATGCCTCAGACTGTAAAGTGGAGATGATGGTGACACCTGCCCCACAGTGCCTGGCAAACTGGCTGGCATACTGTGTGGGGCGGAAGAAATGCTCACACTGGGAGCTGTTATTTAGAGGAGGCCCTGGGCAGTCCCAATGGCCCAGGGCCGTGAGGGAGGCTTGTAAAACCAGATGCCTTGTCAGTGCTCACCTTTCGGCTACGCTGCCTTTCATTATGAAAGTGTCCTTTCACAAACCCTGCCCTCCAGGTGGCTTTTTGTTTTACAGGGTTTCAGCTAGAAGGGTCAGTAGGCCTGTCTGTGTACACACACTGTATAGGTGGGCCTGCCGTAAATGTGTGATTGTGCGGTCAACAGCCATGTGTGGCTGGCGGCTCTCAAGTGCAGTTCTTCAACTATTTGCCTGGAGTGGAAATGGGTGGCTGGGTTGGTTAGAAGAAGCTGTGCAGGCCGGAGGGCACGCTGTCAGCATCAGAGGGAACCAAGCCCATGCAGGGAGGCCAGAACGAAGCTTTCTTGTGCACATCTTACCCGGACTGTGTAAGACAGCACACGGAACGTGGCTACTCTACGTGGGGACCTGTAAAAATGTGTGCCTCTTGGAACTTAGGGGCGTTGGGTCTGAGATGAGCACAGTTTATGCTTTGGTTTGCGGCTGTCCTCCCCTGACAGGGACAGACCAGACCATGCAGGATTTGAGAGCACAGGGCCCTAACCTGAAGTCCCGAAAGGAACTGTTCACTTGCAGTGGTGAAGCCTGCTTTTGCGGCAAGGGATCATTTACAAACTTATCTTTGAAAAGAGGGGTGACTGAGGTGGCCCCTACACGTGCAGTGCAGGCGGCGGGACAGACAGGACACAGAGCATGCAGAGGGGATCACCTGCTGGCCCCTTCGCGCCCGGCAGGGAGGTGGAGTGGGGGGAGGAGAGAGAGTGATCACTTTTTTGGGGCAGGTCCGAGAGCGCTCCTTTTCCCGTCGCTTTTACACCGACAGACACACACAAACAGAAAGAAAATGGTTGAAACAGGAGCCCAGCAGAGACTGCTCCTCTGCTCCTCGGAGGGATAAGGCGCATTTGCATATTTGCAAAGCATCCCAGAGGCCCCTTCCTTGACCACCCTCCACAGCACCTAACTCTGTTCAGCGTTGTCTTACAGTCTCTTGTCTTCCGTGTTGGGACCAGAGTACAGATGACCTAGGTCACTAAACAGCTGGTGAGAACCTTGGTGTGTAATGCTCAAGGGCTTTATCAAGGAAGATGTGGGGACCCCAAAATAGCCCTGATCGTAAGTAGAGATAAATGGTATACGGACCCCCATGGAATGTGGTACGACCTACGCACACCAGGTCACACTGAAGCAAAGCGTGTCCCCCCCCACCCAAGCCATCTGTGACCACATGCCATCAATGCATATTTTCTTAAGCCCATCCCTCATTCACACAAGTTCTAAAAACTGCAAAGAAATACCAGGAAATTAAGCACTAGACGAAAGCCTAGCCCTCATTCTGCCCTTCTCTGTGGGTCGGTCCATGGTTCTGAAGGACACTTCCCGGTATTTGAGAAACAGCCATACATTGCCCTGGGCCTTTCTGGTACTTTCCAGGAGAGACTCAGCTTTCTGTACCCGGGTGGCTGTACAGGGAGGGGGGGGGGGGAAGCGTGGCAGCTGTAAGGTCAGAGAAACATCTCTACTGTGTGTTCCCACCTCACAGGACAATCTGCTTCCCAAACTGGGCAGGCCCACGTGCAGTTTGTCCGCAGGGTGTATTTCTGAGATCAAAAGGGAAGGGGGAGGGGCAGAGGACGAGCCGCAGTGTTTATGCTAGAGGAAACAGCACAGAACCGTTGGCAAGCCGACCTGCTATCCATTTTCCTCCATCTACGGGACGGTCTAAGCAGGAGCGGGCTCTTGTGCCAACTCTGCCAAAGGATACCATGCCTGCCACACCTCCTGCCTCAGTAGGAGCTGCGTCAGGGGACACGCACAGTGAGGTGCTGCTGCCTGTGGGAGATGAGTGGCCAGCCTGCAGCGGCCCAGGCACTCGGCCTCTGAACACATCGCTGGCTTTGAGGAGATACATCTAGAGGGCCAAACCCCTCAAGTTAGTGTTGAAAATGGTGAATGTGACTGTTCAGCATTCCACTGGAACAAACTGTGAGGTACAGTGTATCAGTGCCGCCCCTAAAGACCCTTAAGCCTGATTCCCACTGTAGCCTACAGGACTTAATGATCTGAAGCGTTTTTTCGCTGCTCCAGGTCACCGAGGCTCATTTCATCTGCCCATGGGCTCTTTCTAACTAATCTTTCCTTCCAACCTGCAACGGCCTACCAGCCTCTTACTTTGTTGAGGGCGACAGACAGTAAAGGAGCCGGGTGACAAGCTCAACAGGCAGGAACAACAGCAGCAACAGAAAAGCATTCCCTACACTGGCACAAGGCTGTGGGCTACTGGGCTTCATGAGCAGCCTGTGAATAACCAGGTTCCTGGTGACCGTTCCAGCTGCCAGGCTGGTCTTCACCAGGACAGAGGCCAAGACCCGGCAGGCTCTCTGAGCCACATGCACTGGCCCTTCCTCCTTCCCAGTGATGCACCACCACAGGCCGTGCACAGGGCCACCCAGGTGACTCCTGACCTTCCTGTGGTCCTGTTCTAGTCCTAGGCCCTCACGGTTCCAAACTCTGGTTTAAAATTCACCTGTTCCTTTCCATCAAGACTTCAAGCAAAGGACAGAAAAACTAAAATACCAATTCTTGATGACATCTTTCAGAAGGCCTCCCTCTAGGAAGCAGTTCCTGCGGAGGCAGGAGGTGTAGCTGCTGTTGTGAGTTTGGACATCGCTCCAGCACTCTCTCTTTCTCACTGAGCCCCGCCTTCCACGTGGAGCATTTTTAAGGCATTAGAAAGGAGCGCTTTCTTCAAAATGCAGTGTCAGTAATGTTCAACTCGCCATTCCTCAGCACTTCCAGGCCTGAGGCTGGCCATGGGAGAGGCTAACAGAACCCAGGATCAGCTCGCCTCACCTCAGCGCCCTGTCCCAGTAAAGTGACTGAAACCTGTGATGAGGAGACTCATCCAGCACAGCCTCCCCCAACTCGGTGATAAGCCACTCAACTGTGAGGCCAGGGAGGAGAGGGTGGATGCTTCCCACCCACTGACAAGGTTTCTCTTGGCGTGGGTCCCTCCTCCTCCCAACTGTCACCATAAGCAGCTGTTTTAGTGGAAGTCCCCAGCAAGAGGTTGCTTGTTTGTTTTGGGGTGGTACTAAGGATGGAGCCGGGACCTCATGAAGCTGGACAAGTGCTCTACCACTGACCTACAGCTGCAGTTCCCAAGACCCTCGACAAAAGACGTGGACAAAATCCCAAATGGAGGGGAAAAGCAACCCATGAACATTTTTATGTAGGTCTGAGAGAAACAAGTGCACAGCTCATGAGTCCTTTTGTAGGTCAATTTCCTGCCTCACACAGAAAGCCTCGCTTCCCCAGTTCTCCCGGATGACAAAGGTCACATGGGGACAGGCCAGTAAAAAGCCCATCTGGGAGCAATGTTACAAGGGCTCAGGTCCCACACCTTGGTGAGTTCCTGCATCACTCCAGCTACCTTCAATCCCGAATTAACTGTCTTCCCAAGAGGCTCCTCAAATCCCAGGGAGTCAACGCAGTTACGGAATCAAACCAGCACGGTCTGTCAAATGTTCCCCAGAGTTACTGGCAGTCCAGAGTCCTCCCGGCCCTGGTGAGCTAGGCTTTCAGGCGGCCAGGAGCAGGGGTGGGGTGGAAGGCCAGGGGCGGCCCATTCCAGACCCCGGCAATTCTTTTACCTGTTTCCACTGGGGGATGGGAGCAGGGCGACCCTGCTCTGGCAGGCAGCAGGACGGCTGGCCGACCCCACGCTCTTGTGTCGGCTATGACACACACAGGCCACGTGTGAGTGGGGGCAGGACATGGAGACAAAACAAAATAAAACACATTAAGGTGGAAGACATAAAAAAGGTCCCTGGGCAGGACAGACATGCGCCTATAAACTGAAGAGGTGGGCAAGGCTGAGTTAACTCTTAGAAAGTTACATTCATCAGGGAAAGATAACAGCGTCCCCCAAAACAAAAGCAAGTTCAGAAATGGAGGGGGGGAAAGAGGACGTGGGAGAGGAAAACCAGCTGTGGTTCTTGTTACCCTTTTCTCAGACTGAATTCTCTAGTGTCTACACTACAGAACTATCTGATTTGGAAAACTAATTCCTCCACGAAGGAGGAAAGCAGCCTGCCTGCAGGGGCAACCCCCTGAGGGAGGGCGCTCTAGCCTCCTGAGGTGGGGCTGGCCGAGTCTGCAGCAACCCCTACTGCTACCGACACCACGGGAAAGGACAGCTGTGGAGACACTAACCCAAAGCCAGGTGTGAGAAGCGAAGCCAGGGCTGCCTACCCCCGGGGGGCGATGGTCTGCGAGCGTGGAGACGATGAAGAGAGAGGATGCGCCCCTTCCTTCCCCCCCACGCCCTTTCAGGTCGCCAGGGAGCACGGTAACACATCTCAGAGAGACTTTCAAAACGCCAGTCTCTTCTCTTTAGAGAAGCTTAGTGACTTCTGCAGAGCAAGGGAGGGTCAAGATGCAGTGCAGCCACTCTAGACCTGGGCACTGTCGGACTCTCACGCGTGACTTAAGGAGAGTGCCTTGACGGCTCACATTCCTGGAAAGGCATCTTAGCGAGTAGGAGCACGTTTATCCCTGAGACATTCCTCTCTATCATAGGCGAGAAGCAACTAAGACATCCACCTCGGCTAGGGATGGTGAAGAGCATGGTGCGCGCGCACTCTGAGGACGCCTGTGAGCTGAGAAGACACAGGGGTATGTCACCGTCAGAAAGCGAGAGGCGGGAGAGGAAGCGTCCCCTCAACGGTCTCCGCCAGGAGAACAAGAATGTCCTGAGCAAAAGTCCGGAAAGAAATGAGGCAAAATGAACACAACTGTGGGTGCCTTGGTCACCTCTATCGTACTTCTCAGATTTCCTCCACTAAACCATACTCTTCTTTTTTTTTTTTTTACTTGGGGTGGCGTATCATGAATGTAGCCCAAGCTGGCCTCGATCCCACTATCTTCTGCCTCGGTTTCCCGAGCCCTGCTTTCACACCGCCATGCTGGCTGCGTGCTTCTTTTGTGATTCAAGTACGAGTGTATGTGAACATACACGTGCGTTTATAGACATCCAGAAAAGGGCATTTTTAGATCTCTCTACCGATTCTGGTCACAGACTCCTCAGACCTGAGGTGACGCTAATGGAGCCCTGAACACGTAAGAGTCAAACAAGTCTAGCCCGACCCAGGAGTCTGGGTCTATGGCACATCTTATTACGCCGAGCTCTTCCTTCCCGCACCGTGTGACCTGCTCGGGTTCGGCGCTCAGGGCTTACCTGCCTCCTCACGCCAGCGGACTGAGCAGGCGCGTTCTCTTCGAACTTTGCCAGCAGCTGGGTTGCCATGTACTTTACTTTGTTCTGGTTCCCAATGGCCGCGTCCATCCTCCTGTCTGTCAGGGTGCTCACCAGGGTGGGCCTTTCTCCTCGGTAGCTCCGGGGAGGCTCCTCCTGCCCAGTAGAAAGCACCCAAGAATCAGGATGGGTCACAGGGAACCTCCGATGCTCTTCTCTCAACGTGTGGGCAGGAACCTCGCAGTGGCTTCAGGCTGGCTACCAGCACTCTGCAAAGTCCTAACGTGCAGAGCTGGCGAGACCCTGGATGCAGGGCACCAGTGGGGCTCACACCCTTGTGCTGGCATCACCAGGTCTCAGCAAAGCCACTGTGCTTTGCCAAATGTGTGATTCCATGAAGAGGAAGCCTGAGCACACGTGTGTGTGTGTGTGTGTGTGTGTGTTGCTTGCTACATTCTGGAAAATTAAATGAAGGCAAAAGCACACAGAAACCCTTCCTAGCAGATAATGATGCAAAGATCTAGCAATATCAATTTGAGAATTATTAATTTAAACCAGGTTGCAGAAGGGACAGCTCATTGGTTAAGAGGAGGTTTATTGCTCTAGCAGAGGACCCAGGTTCTAGTCCTAGCATCCAGAGAAGACAGCTCACAACACCTGTAACTCCAGTACCAGGGGACCCACTGCCCTCTGGCCTCCATAGGTATCTGTACACATAAACTCACACAGGCACACATTACAAAACTCATACATACACATTATAAAACAAACAAACAAATCCTACACCAAAAGGATAGTTCGGTACAATCAGTCCTGACAAAGCAGGATGAATCTTACCTCCTCTGACTGACTGGTTTTTCTCCTCTTTCCAGCCCCATCAGAATCCTTTTCCTTTTTATCCTGCACCAAGGGAAGATGCCAAGAGCATTAGCCTGGTCGCGCCTTCCTTTGCCATCAGCTCTGCAGCCACTAGCAAGGTGTGCACATACCTTGGGAGAACGCTTCCGGGAGATGGTCTGCCCAAGCTTGCTCAGGAAGGAGATGGGGGACTTGGTGCTGGCTATCAGGACGGCTTTCTCCTCTGCATTCAGGTCTAAGGTGTCTGTGAACAGGAGTGAGCAGAGTTTACCTGGGACAGTGCCACCAAATCCTCACCAGATCCATGCTCCCTGACAGGGGACTGGCAAGAAGGAAGCTCACGGATCTCTAATGGATTACTGGCTGGGACAGAGCATGCATCTCCACAGCAAAGGCCAGGAAGGAAATGCACACTTGTGTCTACATACTTTCTCTCCCAGCCACACACACAAATCCAACCCTGTTCCTTACACTTCAGTTGCAGTGACCCACACTTTTACTCTGTAAAGGTTGCTCTCTGCCTGTGACCATCACAGCAGACTCCCGAAGTCAAATTTTGATGGAGAAAACTTCAGGCTGGGGTGGAGGGTTGAGAGATACAAGACACGGGGGTGTCATTTTTTTTTTTGGGGGGGGGGGGGGGGGGCTGTAGAGGCCATGCTCTTCGCCGCGTCTGAAGAGGGGCTCTCAACGAATAGGGCTACTCAGGGTTCAGGGTTTGTGTTGTAAGAAATGCATTTCTAGTAAGAAAAGGCATGGGTTCCCCTAAGGGTTTGTGGACTTGAAGACACTGTGGGGAGAAGGATACAATTAACTGTGGATTTTAAATTATTATTATTATTATTATTATTATTATTATTATTATTATTATTATTCTCATCGTCTGTAGGGGACACATATGCCCCAAGCATGCAGGAGGGTCAGAGGGCAACTCTGTGGAGTCAGTGTTCTCCTTCGGCCTCTCTGTGGGCTCCAGGGATTGACGCCAGGCTGTCAGGTTCCTACTGTGTGATGGTAAGCGCCTTCACCCACCGAACCACCTTGCTGGCTGGGATTCTAATATTGTACTAATAGCAACGGCAATTTTGAGAACAGTAATTGGAAATAATGTTGACTCGTTAACATTTATTTATTCGGTGTTCACCTATCATTTCTTGGTATAACGCGGCGTTATCATATCCACCACTCTCTGTTTACATACAGGGAGACGAAATGTAAGGACCTTTAACAGCCTGTCCAGGGTTGAACAAGTGGAAACTGGAACAAAACCGGGCACAGGCACTGGGGCCAGTACTCTGAAGCACAAAATCTGACCGTAAGTGGCGTCCTAGGCATCTTTGTCAAGTTAACATTACCTAGAGTGCTCTGGAGGAAAGCCTTGAGTGAGTAAGTGCCTGGATCAAGTTGGCGTGGGGGGGTACTGTCTGGTTATTAACTGATGCAGGAGGACCCAGGCCCTCGGTGGGTGGCACTATCCCTAAGCAGATGGCCCTAGGAAAGCTAGCTAATCACGAGCCTGTGAGTAAATGCAAACGGTGTTCCTCCATGGCTCCTGCCTTTAGGTTCCTGCTTGAGTTCCCACCTGACTTCCCTCCATGATGAACTGTGACCTAGAAGTATAAGCCAAGTAAACCCTTCCCTCCCCTAAATTGCTTTTGGTTATAGTTTTTATCCCAGCGACAGAAAAGGAAACTAAAACAGGTTGCAACTTTTTGGAGCCCTATTGAGTGCTGGCCAAGGCAGCAGGCTGAGGACCAAGGAAAATTTTCTGGGGATCTCTAGGAGGGAGAAGTTGCAAGGAAAGGGAGAATGAGAACCAAGAGACATCACTGCGGGGCACTGACTAGAGGAACACCAAGACACCAAGCGTATGAGACGAGAAACAAAGGCCCAGGGATGTAGCTCAGCTATAAAGAGCTTGTCTCATATACACGAGACCCTAGAAACAAACACACACGCACACACAAACACACACACACACACACACACACACACACACACACGCTCGTATGCAAATACACACAAACACAAACTAAAAAAAAAAAAAAAGGAAAAAAAAGAGCTGAGGAACGAGAAAAGAACTTGGGGTGGGAAGGGTCTCTGCAAGGACACAGGCAGGTGTGGGCAGAACACTCCAAGAGAAGCAGGATTACAATGCACAAAGTTCAGAAGGAGCTACCTTTGCAGAAGGAATGCGTCTGAGAGAGGCTGGGGGAAGGTGGCAGAGTCAGGAGAAAAGCTTTGGACAGACTGGTTTTGTATACTTTTATGTAGAGTGAGAAAGATTTTGAAAAGAGCATCTGGTTAAGAACACACTGCTGAGAAGCAAGGTTCCAGAGGTTTCCCGGCTGAGCAGGCAGCAGGAGGCCAGGACCCCACCCGGAGCTCCAGGGTCCTCACCGCTGGAGGAGAGCGAGTCCTTGAACATCTCATAGAACTGCGTGAGGTACATCACCATGGACAGCTTGTCCGGCTCCCCCACGGAAGCCATCTCCTTGCCGGTCATGATGGGAGAGATGCCCAGTTCCTTTTCGGCGATGTCGAAGGCCAGCTGGTTGTTCTTCTCCACGTTCTGCTCGTCCAAAGAGTCGAAGTCTCTGACAAACAGGACAAGGAAACATGGGGCCAGTTGGGCTAACTGTCCTCAAACCAGAACACAGTACCTGTGCCGCTGCCATCTCTCCTGGGATCAGAGAGCAGATCAGACTGTCTGGAGCCCCACTCTTCCCTCCTGACTAAGCAAATGCATAACACTTCTGGGGGAGGCGACTAGAACGGGGTGGGCCAGGGAGAAGGCGTGGGGGGCAGAGACACATAAGCTCAGGACGGGAACTATCTTAGGATGCGCTCCCGAGCTCCTGTCCAGAAACCCAAAGGAAACTAATGTCCAACAGTGACACAGCCCTGTTTGGAAAGAGTTCTCCGTGTCCTGGGACTGTCACTTGTCCCAACAGTTCTGGTAAATTTTACTCAGCTTTCTCCTGCGGAAAAATTCTAAAACCTTCCCCAAAGGTTTTTCCACTGCTGAACCCCCTGAGCTTTCCTGACTAGCTCCCTTAGTGAGCGCCCCTCCCTCCCAGGCTTTAAGCTCCCTGACCCAAGGGACTGCAGAGGTTTTCCAGTCAGCTGACTTCACACCATCCTGGCAGCCCTTATTGTGTGTTAACCTACTGACCTCACGGAATTTTTTTTTCCATTTAAAACAAATTACGTTTCTCTTAGAGTAAGCCTATTAACCCATGAACACTCATCTTAAATGCTGTCCAAACTGCTTTCTGACCTCCCTCAGGCCTTCTTCAGGCTACATTCACCTTCTGACCAGCATCACAGGCCATTCACTTTACGTCAGAAATTTCCCCATCCTTTCGAACCTGAAGCTTGGTGTCTGCTAGGCAAAGGCTGCATTCGCACCTCTCCGTATTTATTTATTCTTTTGAGGAGACAGTTTCAAGCTGAAACTCCTAACTTCCTGCCTGAGCCTCCCAATGCTGGGCCTGCAGGTATGCCTGGCAACAGTTGTTTTGTTTTGTGGTACTGGGGCTCAAACCTAGAGCTTTACATACGGTCCTCACTGTTAATCTCTACCACGCAAGGCTGCTTTTATTAGCTCTTGCATCATTAACACAGAACAGGGGCTATGTCTTTTAGGACTCCCTAACCAATCATTGAAACAACAGGCAAAACCTGGGCCCTTGAGTGGACCTAATGATAAAAAGAAGGCAGCCAAGACAATCCACCACGCTGTGCTTGTCTCTGAATCTGTTTGATTTCCATAGTAACAAGTGCCTGGGAGGGGGTGTGTGTGGCTGAGTGTGTTGCTCATGCAGCTGACCTGAGGCCACTCTGAGGTGATTCTCAGAGTGAAAAATGGACATCAGAGGGACCAGTGGGTGAGATGAGGCTCAGGGAGAACACTTGCAAAAAAGTACAACCTTTACACAGAAAACGCCCAAGACCATCATCAATCAGGGATGTGTCTATTGTTTTCTGTTGGGCTGAGCTAGCCAAGTGTTCTAGCCAGGTTTCCCTTGTGACCAACAGCATCTGAGAGAGAGCTAGCCAAAAACAAAGAGTTCAACCCGGGGCCAATAAACAGCTTTCCTTTGTGCAAAGTTAAGAGGCCCAGGTGGGTGTTAAAACCAGTTTTTTGACCTTCTGAATGCTGTGATTTTTAAAGCTAACTTTTTGGGGATTGAGTTTTAAATACAACTAAGTCATAATCTGGGCCTTCTAGAGAGAGCATTTTACCATGTAATTCACAGGAGGAAAAAGTATAACATTTGCATAAGGGGCCCTGGGCTCCTTGGTGAATATTAAACAAAACACAGAATTGGTCATGACTTACATTAGGTCAGGGCGGTATCTGTGGATGATGGCACACAGGGCCAGGCCACTTTTCCACGACATGGTGAGATCTGTCACATTCACTCCTGCATAGCCATCTGTCTGCCTTTGGCACCACCCCAGCAGTTTGCTTGAACGAGCTACAGACTCTAAAACAATAAAAATAGTTAACTCAAGTGTGCTTGCCTCACAACGCTGACATAGCACTCGCTTTGCAGTAACACATATCCAGTCTGAAAAATTACTGAGGGAAGGGACAAAATGTTGGTACTGTTTTTGGAAGAAACGGAGTGAAGGGGCGTAAGTCTTTGTCACTAGTATCATGATAGTACAATTTTAGGTACCAACCTATCCGATTCCAGGGTCAGTGCCCCAGACAGATACCTCCGAGCAGGGTGACAAGGACCTGCCACACTGAAGCAGTGTCCCGGCAGCACTCCTGGAGACAAGCGGGTGGCAAAGTGCCACTTGCAGAGCTGATACCTCACTGGCAACAGAGTCGTGATCTCCCTGGAGGGCTGCCTGGCAACAGGCTGAGGAAACCCTTCCCTACACACAACACCCAGGAGATTAGATTAGAAAAGGGTTCCTCTGTAGTCCCTTAAACCCAAGCAAACAAAGCCTTAGTCTCACTTCCTAAGGTCCCGACTGAGAGCCAAGATGAGACTGCAGGGTGACAGCAACAAGGCCAAGCAGGCCAGAACAGTCCTAGACCCAGGCTGGCAACCCGTGTTCCACACGATCACTCGTGGACACAAGGCAAACACACACACATTTTCCGACTTGCTGCCGTGCCTTCGTCAAGCGCTGATCTGTGTTCAAGAGGCTGTTCCTGTCCCCGAGGCAGCTGGCGGTTAGCTTTGCACTAACTTATTTGGTGACTTGTGAGCAAATAAAAAACAAACAAACAAAAAAACCCAAAAAATAAAAACCACGCTTATGGTAAGAATCTTGCAGTCTTTCACAGTCAAGTATGGACGGAGACAACAAACTGGCCGCTGATGTCATCTCTTGGCTACTAAGATATTTCCCACGCCTTGCACCTACCCACTCCATGTCCACCAGGCAACTCCAGACCACAGGTGACCACGGTAATGGTGACTGAGACAGTCTCTGTTCTCAGGGTGTTGATGCCCCGGGGGAGAAAGAAGATGCTTCAAGCTGTCTGCCGTTTTCACATCTACCTTGACATCTCATGACCACGTTAAACCAAACCGTCCAAGACAGAACTCAAACCTCTCCAGCCTTCTCACCTCTCCATCCCCTGGTTTGGACTGATGCAGCATAAACCACAAGGACGCGGCTACGTGGTACCTCCCATGCCAATCCATTGTGGTGCCTTCAGCCTTTTAATATTAATAAGGATGACAAAACTATTCCCACCCACTGCGTGACAGGCACTGTAGCGAGCGCTATGCCAGAGACCTCATGACCCCAACCTGAGAGCAGGGTTGTTCCTCCCAGAAAAAGACGAGGAAATTGAGGTTCTGAGGTTCGAACTGATCTGTTCGAGGCCGCACACTTTGCAGATAGCACAGCTAGGACTGAGAGCCGCTTGCACCTGGCCCCAAAGTCCAGGTTCTTCTGGTTCTCCTGAGAGCCACTGCCTCGGCCCCAGATTCTGGCCTTTATCACACATAGACTATGCAACTATTTCCTAAACGGCCCCCCTGGACCTAGTGTATTTCCCTACTCAGTCTGCTCTACTGCACACAAGCAGCTGTATTCGACGCCACTCTCCAAAGACAATCTCTGGCGGCCCTTCAACACACACAAAGCACAGAATGGCCTTCACATCTGCCACGGATGATGGTGTTTTCTTGGGACCCAGCCAAAAGGCTACACCACACGTTCTACAAGGCCTCTCCCAAAACCTGGGTGTGTGTATGGGGTACCCAGGAGCTTATGTGAACTCCACGTGCGTTCTTTTTCACTCTCTCCTGGATCTGTGACGGACTGCTCTGGCACACTGTCCTCCAAGCGTTACAGCCGTTACTATCTTCTTCAGAGCAGCTGTGATTGCCGGCAAGCGACCCTTAGGGTCAGGGCTGTTGATGTCCCCTCACTGGAGGAAAACCACCTCCCTCCCAGCTTTACAAAATTCTGCCCCCGTTGCGCACAGTCTTGGGAGGCGCTAGAGCACCGAGAACATGGAAGGATAACGGAACAGAGGGCTCCATTTACACAGCTATGGAAGTCATCATCTGTGTGGCAGTGAGACTTTCAGTGATGGCGATGTCTGGAGGTCACCCGTGGTCCTGCAGGTAAGCCTACTGGTTCACAGAGCCTCACTCAAGTGGACTCATTAGTTAGGTCCACTGTTGGTGCCCTATCCGGGCCCAACAGACATTTGACTATATCTGCGCAGGAAAAGTTACAATAACTAAATCCCAATACTTTTCTATGTGTGTGAGAGACTGTTCTGGGCATTCTGGAAATCACAAGACATCCCTGAGTTCTATCCACTAGATGCCACTAGCAAACCAACCCCAGTCATGACAGAAAAATATACCCTGGCAACTATCAAATAACCCCAGAGGATGAAACCACTGGCCGAGGCCCAGGGCCTTTGATAGCACTGTGGTCATCCAATGGCTTGAAGGATGGGTACTGGCATCTTTAAACAGTGTAGGCCATTATTGGAACTCACCATTGCGAGTCAGCTTGGGAGTGGTTCGGGAGTTCACCAGGTTCTCCATTTCCAGATGAATATCTTTCGTTTCTCCGCTATCGTATAAATGGCGCACCTGGCACAAAGATCGAAAGGTTGAGACGGAAAATCAGACCCTGAGTAACAAACAAACCCTCACTTGAAAGAGAGACTTGAAAAGCAAGCAGGTAGAGTCCATGTATTTCTTTTTACTTTCTGGCGGTGCTGGGGTTTGAGCTAAGTGGCGCTCTAGGCCCCATGGCAAAGCTTAGGCAGAACTACATGATGACCTTGGTCAGATGAGGTTATGGAGACACACAAAACCTGACCGTAAGCATCTGTGTTGAAAGTAAGCCAGCTGGCCGCAGCGGTGCCTCTGCCGGTGTTGCCCGCCTCCACTGTATTTAGAAACACAGTCCAAACACATACAGAAGTCTGTGGGCATCGTGCAAAAGGCACAGAAAATCCTCCAGAACACAGACAGACGTGTGAGGCAGCTGCTTCCCGACGCACCCTGCTCCTCGGGCTCTGTGCTCTGGAGGCTGCCACGCCACACAATCTAGCTAATGCCGACAATAGCGCCTTCTAAGTGCAGATAGCGCCTTAGCCTTTCAAAGCCCTTTCAAGAGAACAAGCTCATCTGCCTGACGGCGATGCTGTGGACAGGTGGGCGGGTGTTATAACTACACTTCTCAGGTGAAAAACCGAGGTTCAGAGAGAGCAAACAACCTGGCAGAGACACAGGTGGTGGGTGATGACGCTGTCGGTGACGCCATCCTGCCCCACTACTGAGCCACTCGGTGCCCTTTCCCCTACTCTGTGCGGTTTGAATTAGGAGGTGCAGGGTGAAGTTCTAGGCCTATTGTTTTCGTCACTCCTGATCTTCTACAAGCGACTAGAAAAACTCAGCTCGGCCAGGCGTGGTGGCTCACGACCTTCCAGCACTCTGGAAGCTGAGTCAAGAGGATCATCACCAGTTCAAAGCCAGCCTGGGCTATGTAGTAAGCTCCAGGTGAGCTTGGGTTGCAGCGCATTCAAGCCGGCCCACCCCAAACCCAAACTCAAAATAATTAAAGAGGAGGAAGGACTGACCCTCGTGATGAATGTGTAATGGGAAATAATACCTCCTCTGAACAACACACAGACATCAACCTGGGTTACTTAACGTGTGACGTTTAAAACAAGCACAACCGCACACATTCCTATTGCAGCACATACTGAATGACAGCAAACACGGTCACACGCTTTCCTCTCTGGCCCACTGTGACCAGAGTTCTGAGCATCCAGAACAGGGGCCTAGGCGCACAGGGCTGACAGGAAGGCTCTTACCTGGCTTGGCCTGAGGAAGTTGACGTTAATATTGGGATACCTAGTGACAGGGTCGATGCTGTATTGGCTGAAGTTCTTGCTCACGTTCTCGGGGGTGGTCTGAGGCAGCAACCTATAAATGCTTTCCCTGCAATGACATACAAAGGGGTGCTCAGCGCGGTGACAAGCGCCACATCACCTCAGGAGTCAGCCAGTCTTCCCTGAGGAATCTAGCTAATCAGATCCCCAGCACTCAGTAACTCCAGGCCCAGGACAAGGACAAGGGCGAGGGCTGGACGGAAGGGCAGGGACAGTGCTGTGGGCAGCGGCATACGCTGCTCGTTTAGAAGGCTGGTGTGTAGTGTGCCAATATTTACTCTGGCTTCTCAGACATTAAAAAGGAACCGTGGTCGGCGTGTGTGTGGTCACCGGAGTGCAAGTCTGTCTCGTCCTTTGAGCCCTATGCCCATGGATTCATCTTTCCCAAACTTTCCCTCAATGGTGGAATATTTAATCTAAAGTATGAACGATACTTCCGAAACACCCTCTCTGTTAGCACAAAGGCCTCTGCTTATTCCTCAATGCGTCTATCAGGGCTATGGTTACTTCCCCAAAGGTCACACGCTGGAAGTCTGGATCCCAGCATGGTGTTGGTGTGGTGGTAGATGTGGTAGTTCACACCTATAATTCTAGCACTTGGGACACTCAGGCAGGAGAACTGCTTTGAGGTCAAGGTCAGCCAGGACTACATAGTGAGCACTCAGCCAGCCATGGGTACAGAGTGAGATTCTTATTATCTCAAAACACAAGACAAAGAAAAATATAAGCTTTCCCACCACATCCAGATGCATGCCTTATATTAAAGATTTAAAATAAGAGAATGTGCGGGCTAGTTTTTAATGTCAACTTGACACAAGCTAGAGACATCCGAGAGAACCTCAAATAAGAAAATGCCTCTATTAGACCAGGCTGCAGGTAATTTCTTAATCAGTGATTGATAGGGGAGGGCCCAGTCCCTTGTGTGTGGTGCCTTCCCTAGGCTGGTGGTCCTGGATTCCACAAGAAAGCAGGCTGAGCAAGCCATGGGGAGCAAGCCAGTAAGCAGCAGCCCTCCATGGCCTGTGCATCAGCTCCTGCCTCCAGGTTCCTGCCCTGCTTGAGTTCCTGTCCTGACTTCCTTAGGTGATGAACAGTGCTGTGGAAGTGTAAGCCAGTTAGGACCAGAAGAAGGGCACTGCTGAGACAGACCTGACTATGCTGAGTTGGAGGGAAGGATAGAAGACTTTGGGTGTCTGGACTAGAAAAGCGGCTGAACACTGTAATCATGGCCTAATAGGCAGTGTAATAGGCTATCCTAGTAGGAGCTTAGAAGACAGCAGCACTTAGAGCAATGTGGACTGTGGAGGCCCAGCTCAAGAGTTCCAGTGAGGGGCAATATTAGCAACTTGACTAAAAGCCATTCTTATGATATTCTGGAAGGGGGGGGGGAAAGGTGGGCTGTTTTTTACCCTGATCCTAAGAATCTACCTGAAGCAAAACTGAAGAGTTTGGGATTAATTTTGTTGGCAGAAGAGATTTCAAAACAGCCTAATAATGACTGTCACATGTTTGTTAGTAGCCAGTCTTGCACAGCTCTACAAAGAAAGAGAGCAAACAGGGCAAAAAGAAATGCAAAATGTATCGTCTGATGAGAACAGAGCACAAGAAAATTTGATGTGGGCCCCAAGGTTTGTGCTGAAAGACAGATCAAGAGAGGCCTGATGTGAAATGGGAAAAGGGGGAGTGGTGCCCTCGGGGAGAAGTCTCAACCAGCCACCCTGCAGCTGGTGAAAGGAAGAGGCCTACGGAATTTTCTGCTCCTCAAAGGCAGCAAGTCAAAGCTGCTGCAAATGTGATTCAAGCAGGGGCCATGGTCCATCCCAAGAGGGCAGCTGAGCTTGGCCACCTCGGCCTCCACATTCAGGCTTTAGAGACATGTGCGACTCTTCCTTTGAGGTTAAGGGCAGCCATGAGGCCAGGCATACAACATGGGAGCCCCTGCATGGAGGCCCCGAGGAGCTTCACCATGTGAAGCTGCGTTGTGCTGAAGGCCCCAGGATGCTGCAACACAAGGGACCTTGGAAAGTCTGCCAGGGAAGAGTGGTACATAGCAGGCAGCAAAGCTGGAAGGATGAAGCTTTCCAAACCCTCTGACATCAGATGTGGAGGCACAGGATCTGGAGCTTGCCCTGGGGGTTTCTGTCTTGCTTCAGTCCAATATTTCCCATTATACCCCAATTCTGCCACTTTTTTTTTTTTAATGGTATGTATATTCTGTGCCATTGTATGTTAGAAGTATGTAATTTGCTTTTTGATTTTATAGAAGTATACAATTAAAAGACTGTCTTGAGTCTCAGGAAGACTGTGGACTTTTAAACAGTGTTGAGACTGACAGACATTTTTGGATAGACAGGATTTCTGAAGTTGGACCAAATGAATTTTGTATTATGAGATGGGTATAAGATTATGGGAGCCGGGGAGTAAATGCGGTGGTTTAAATGAGAATGCTCCCCAAAGGCTCATATGTCTGAATATTCAGTCTCCAGCTGGTGGAACTGTTTGGGAAGGATCAGGAGCCTTGCTGGAAGGGTGGGCCACTGGGAGTGGCCTACTTAGCTCTCTCTCTCTGCCTCATGCCTGTGGATCAGATGTGACCTCTCAGCTACTGCTCTAGTGCTATGGCTGCGTGCCTTGTGCCATGTTCCCTGCCATTATGGTCCCTCTGATATCTTGTCATTAACAACAACAAAAAAAAGTAGCTGGGACACAGAGTTTCATGTAGGAAACCTTGCATTTCTGTTTCTCCTTTTCAGGGTAAACAGCAAGTAAACCCTAGTGCCTTTGCCTCATTTACAATCATCTGCTTCCAAACATCTGACACTCAGGAGTTCAGGAGGTGACCACGAGCATGCTGGTGTTTCCCTTTCGGCTGGTCACTTCTAACATCTGCTGTTAGCACGTCCCCATCGCCATGCTGGCTTCCAGAACACAGCTGCCGATGGGCTGCTTCTGTGCATTTGCCATGTAATTACTGGAAGGGAATCAGAACCAGTCAGCAGTGCACAAAGATGCAGGCACCAGGTGTCAATGGCAGGGTCGGTCTGGGTTTGGAGTTAGGAGAACAGTGGCGTGGTCAGATCACCGTGAGGCTCAGGTGACTTTGTGCCACAAGTACCTTGCTTTTCCTCTACTCAGATAAGAAAGCATCTTGAGGCACCCACAGCTTTTTCCCCATTTTACCTCTCTGCCAGGACTTCCAAGGGGCTGGTACCCAGAGACCAGCTTCGTACCATCCAGGCAGAGTCCATAGCAGCAAGAAAGCCCCGGGCTATTCCTGTTCCCATTGGCCAGAAAGGCTGCAAAGAAGATAGACACAGAGTTAAAGTAACTCCACTGCTCAAGGAGGGAAGTACACTAGCATCCTAAGGGTCTATCATCGCTTTTCCCCTTGCTGGTGCAACTCCTCTAAAGGTATCTCTGCTCACGCACATCCCTGGATACCTAGACTGACCCCGCAATCACTACTGCCTCTTCGCCACGGCCTCCATCTACCACTTAGTTCTCTGCCCCTTTCAGTACTCACCTCCAAGAGGCTGTCCCCAACCAGAGCTACTAGTAACTGGTGTCCATTCTGTTCCCGTACCAAGGCAGCATTTTCAGAGGCGTACATACAGGTAAAGTCAAACATGGCCACATCAGGCTGCCCATAGTGATTGATGGCAAAATCCAGAGAAGGCAGCTGCTGCTGGGTAGAGAAGTCTGCTGCCTCCCGGGCATAGTTCAGCAGAGCCTCCTGGTCCACGTTCTCCCGGGAAAGCAGCAGCTCCGTGTCTGTATAGTCCTGTCCAGGAAGAGCAAATGCCAAGATGGAGCAGCCCAAGCAGGGATGCCCTGTTGCCAGACAGAAACCCACAATGAACATCAAACATATTTTTACGTTCCTAAACTGAATCTTTTATACCAATTACAAAGAACAGGAGCCAGGTGGTGGCAGTGCACACCTATAATCCCAGCACATGGGAAAAAGAGGCAGGCAGATCTGAGTTCAAGGACAGCCCGATCTACGGAGTGAGTTCCAGGACAACCAAAGCTACACACAGAGAAACCACATCTCAAAAAAACCAAAAATAAAATAAAATAAAAAGAACAGGGGTTGCAGCTAGGTGCGGTGACACTCGCCTGTAATCCCAGCACTCTGGAAGGCAGAGGTAGGTGGATTGCTATGAGTTCGAGGACAGCAAAGGATACACAGAGAAACCCTGTCTCAAAAACAAAGCAAAACAAAAACCAGGGATTGGGGGTGGGGATGGAGGTGTTGGTCAAGAGTGAACTGGCTTTACTACCTAAAAAGACCTGGCTTTTCCACAAACTAGAAGCAAATCCTTAATATAATTCTGACCAATCAGTGTTCTTACAATTATCAAACAAAAGGCACATAACAGCACTTTGTAAACCAAAAGGGCATTTTAAAGTTTATGGCATTTCCTGTAATCACTTTAATCTGACAGCTTTTGGTGGCAAGAAATTCAGACTTATCACACACACACACACACATACACACCCCTCAAACAAAACAAAACAAAACAAAAAACCCAGAACACTTTAGTGCAAAGACAAGTGCAGTGTGGAACAAAAGCAGGTCCAGGAACATGAGAAGGGTCCAGCTGAAAATGAGCCAGAGATTTCCAAATCACACAGAGGGTTCTGCAAGGCTCTATGAAAATCCACCAACAAACAAAAAGGGCAACAGCACAATAGGGCTGTCCAGGTAAGGAACGGAGAACCCCCTCCTAGGCTACGGGGGTTCCCGGGCGCTGGGTCAAGTCTGGTCCCCCTCAAGAGGGGCCGATGGCTTCCAAGTGCCCCCTAATGGTACTTAATTACAACTATGAGCTGTCAAAAGCCACTTAGTTCTCTGCCCCTTTCAGTACTCACCTCCAAGAGGCTGAGTTGGTCCTGGAAATATTGTTTATTTAGTGTTAAGTAGCTCCGATGGCTTTAGTATTTAGCAATATGAATCTGTTAGGCTACACAAATATGGGGGCCCAGTAAACGAGACCTCAGCATTCCAGGCTGCAATTACTCAACTTTAAATTGATAACTCAGCTCCGTGCGGATGGTTGGTCTGAGTCTTGCTCTGTCCTCAGGCATGCCACCTGCTGTACTAACAGCAATGGGAAGAGCCCGGATAATGAACTAGCCAGCTATATAAGGAAGGCACTTAGCCAAACACGCCTCGCTCTTGTTTGGCAGAGTCCTCTGTGTCAAGGGCTTTGTCTCGCTGCTCCCTACCCACCCCAGGGATGCCACGCTGGGATGCAGACACCGAGTTCACCGTGGAAAGGAACTTGTGTCGCAAGCACGTGCTTGTCAGCTCTCTCCCCGGTCTGCTCTCCATAGAGCAGTGCTGTGACTGACTCTGAGGGGCCTGGTGTGCTACTGCCCTGCAGGCACAAAGAGCTCCCTAAGAGTCAGCACTGAGGCTGCTGGGAACTGCACAGGGCCGAGCCAATACACTTGAGGCCTCTTCTATCCATTCATCACACGGAGACAGTAATTCTCATATCCAGATCTGCAGGGCCAAGCGAGACAACAGCCATGCTCCTTAAGGGACCAGCCTGAGATTTAGATTTCAGGTCATTAGCTCAGGGTATCCTGCACAGTTAGTCACTCAGAAGAAAGGCTGAGCTGGAACGGGATAAGGAGAGAGATGCAAGGCCTTTGCTGTCAATTAGGAAGAGCCTCAAATACACCTGATCTGGTCGGGTCAGTGTTCCATGGACCTCTAGTAACCACATTTCAGGAAAACCTGAGTTACTGTCAGGCTGTTGTAAACAGCCAGTGTGCTTCTTGGTTCAACACTCCTCGCCCTGACCCCCAAAACAGGACCTACTAAGGTGGGGCCTGGTGGCGCAGGCATGTAATCTTAACTGCTCAGAGCTTACAGCAGAATGACTACGTGTTCAAGGCTTGCCTGGGCTACAGCGCTCTTCTGAGGCCGGTCTGAGCGACTTAGTAAGAACCTGTCTCCAAAGAAATAGTTCTGTGAAAGGAAGCCTAGGGAGGTAGTCTGGCGGCAGAGTTCTTGGTTAGCAATGCGCAAGGCCTCAGTCCCCGTTACTGTGGCGAGGGAGGAGTGGGTGTAGGAGGGCGCACTGCTCGGTAGTTGTAGTGTATGGAACTCACTATAACCGTGAATCTGTTTACCTGAGGCTAACCTGGCTAATTATACATGTCACTTCTCTGACACAGTCGAGGAGCAGGGCAGGGGAAGAGAGGAAGGGGTTATGCTTATTGAAAACGATGCTGGCCATGTTGGGAACTGTCAAAGCTAATCATCATCATGGCCGCACAGGCCTTTTCTAGTCTCTTCCTTCTGTTCTTAGTTTCAAGTTGTTATATACTAGTTGGTTTGTTTGTTTCCGAGACAGGGTTCCCTACGTAATAGCTCTGGCTGTCCTGAGTTCTCTTTGTAGACCAACCTGGCCTCAAACTCACAGAGATCCGCCTGCCCCTGCCTCCTGAGCAATGGGATCGAAGGCATGAGCCACTGCTCCTGGCTGAGGAAAATGTTTTTAAGTTAAACTAATAAACTGCGTGGGTTTGTTTCCAGATGCGTTCAGTGTCATTTTTATTCCCTCCCAGGGAGAGCCCAGATTATAAAATTCTTCTTAGTGATCATGTCAAGCAGTTCAACAGAAATGTTGCCTGAAAGAAATCCGGTGCTCACATGCAGAATCACCCCTTTGTCCAGTAAACTCTGTTTTTTGGCCGTCATGACAAAGTAGTGCGTGTCATCTTTGTAGTAGACGATGTTCTCCAAGTCAATGCCTACAACCAGAAGACACACGTGTGAGAATTCATGGAGGTTGGGGCGTTAGGGAATTCATAAGGCTGGTCTCACAATAGGGCTGAAGAGACGCAGGCAAGAAAGCTGTCTAGGCTCAGAGCCTTACTTCCTGCATAGCCACTGGAAATCGGGAGGGTTTCCCCCTCCCTTTCCTGCTGCACTATAACTCACTCAACCTCCTGGCTTATCCCAGAAACGATGACCAGTAATAAACAGAAACATGGGAATGGGAAAAGCAAAACAAAGGAGTCTACAAGAAGGGATGATGGGTTATTGACCAGGTAAAACCTCTGGTAATCATCAAGGAAGCTGGAGGCATCTCCTACATGCCTAAATGCAGAGAGAGAAATACTGAATTTTTTTATTCAGTTTACCTAAAAGATCTATAGAATGGAAAGAAATAAAGCTCTAGAAAACAAAATGAATACATGTTTTATTGTTGTTATCTTTTATTGCAGCAAAATAACTAACTCAATCCATCATAAAACAGTCACAATCCCACTCCTGTCCAGCAATGGCTGCCGGTGATCTCAGATGACCTCAGACAAGGCCAACCGTCATGCCAAAGGTCAGAGTGTCAACAAAATTAGGGTGCCAGTGGGCAGCCTGCTCATCCAGAAGCAAACTCGGCTAAAACTGTAGCAGGAGGGAACTGGGGATGAGCTGGCGGAAGGCAAAACAAACAAGAGCAGAGCAGCCTGGCCACCGTGCTGAGGACAGACACCCGAAAGCAGCAGTGCGGGAACTCGCTAAGAACAGAGGATGGGAGTGACCGGAGAACAGAGGGCAGAGGACACAGCAGTGACATCCACGGCGGCCCACACCACAACCGCTGGGCTCTGAAGGCACGGACACCAACCTGTGGCTTCTCTCAGCTCCTGGAAAAATTTCTGGTTGAATATAAAAGCCACACCACTGATCTCCTCCACTTTGGCCTCTGCTGTTGTGTTACGGTTGATGAAATTTGCTGTGATGGCGATGGCTAGTTTGCCACGAAATTCTTTCCGGCGAAATCCTAGAGGGAAAGGGGGAAGGGGTGAGGACTTCAAATGAGGGAGTATGGGGGGGCCAGATTCAGGGAAAGTAGGCTGCTCACCTAACAGGGATGAAAACTCACGGAGGAAGTCCCTCCCATTGACATGGACAAGGTGGAATCTAAAATGATGGGATTATTACTCAGTACTAGAGGTTACCCTTAAAGTGAAGGGGTGCTGTGTGCCCGGCTCATTTGTACTAAAAGCTGTGGTACCCATATCTCTAAGTATAGCTTGTCTCCTGGTGTCCTATGGGAAATATCCCTGGCAGGAACTGACTGGGCAGCACACTTGCAAGTTCCTAGGGGTGTGGTCTCTGGGTGTGGTCAGCCTCTAGTCTGTGAGAGTAGGCCAAAGTAGTACCTTCTAGGGTGTTCCTCCGTCCATCCCCACCGATGATCACTTCAAATTCATATTCTGATACGGGGTGAGTTTTGGGGTGCACCAATGCTCGCCATCCTATCCCTGTGGACCAAAAGCAAAATGAAGGGCATAGCCCAGACCAAGCCACACCCAGACACGCAGATCACACCAAATCTCAGCTCAAAGCACTACATGTAATAGAACAAGGGGCGGCCCCAGGCAGAAAGCTTTGTCAAGCGCTCACAAAGATGCTTTCTTTACCTTCCTATTTTCAGGAATACAAATGCCCTCCACGCCTAACACTGTGTCAAAAGCCTCTTGGGTAACCCAAAAGTCCTGAAAAGCCCAGGCTGCGTGAACAAAGCCCCTTTAGTCACAGCTGAAAACAACCTGTGAGTCCTCCCGGCTCCTCCCCCATCTCATCCGCTCTCGCCCACTCAGTGCCCTCAGGCCTTCTCCCTCTCTCCAGTCCCACTCACGTTCATTCTCTTGGTCCTCGGGAGGCTGGACAAGTCCTTGGAATTCCACGTTGACATGGATCTCAATGCCTAAAATCAAGGCTACTTTCAAAAGAATTAGTTGGAGCTGGCGGATACCTAGAAGAACACAGAGATCTCGGTGGCAAGGGGATGGGGAGGGGAGAGGCCTAGGGCGCTCACCCTCAGGCTCCCACCCACCCACATCTGCTTAGGTTCCCAAAGGCTGTCATAGCAGAGACATGGCTCCCAAGTTCTCATTTCTTTCTCTACGTTGTAGAGGTGACGCCAAACAGTGGAAGAAACGTTCCAGATATACCGGGCCACCCTATCTAACAGGATGACAGACACAACACAGCCAAGGAGAATCACTCTCCTATCTCCTGGGTGCAGCGGGAACCACCGTAATCCAAGGGACCCACACCCTTCGAGGCACTTGCAAGCCACAGGAGAGGAACACGCATGGGTAACAGGCCACACCATCCGCCTTCTACTCTGACTCCTTGCTGACCTCACACACTGCTACCGGATACACAGACGAAATCACAACCCCACGCTGTCTCTTACTGTTTCCCAGCACCAGGGACTTACAGTTGTGGAAACTGAGGTCCAAAAGGATCGACAACCCTGCTCATGACCACAGTAATAAACATATCTGATGTCTAATGAGTCCCCACCAGATCTGGAACCAATACCAGGTTAACAGAGAGATGGAAATCCTGTCCCTCATCTAAAATACCCTCTGTCCTAAAATAAAATTGGCCAGAGATAGGGACCACAAATCCACTCAGTCAACGACCCTTGGTCCTCCCTAAGGCCAAATTTACCTGCTGCCTGTGACTAATGGGCTAGAGCACTGGTAAATCCCCTGCTAAGTCATCCTGGCTACTCTCCTCAGATGACCATACCCTCGCCCTTCTGAGTCACGCTCCCAAAGGCTCGCTGAGATCCGAGCTAGCACACACTTTATTTTTGCAGACAACTGTGGGTTCTGAGATGCTTCACAAATTACAGCCTGGCAGATGGGCTGAGCACTTCCTCCTGCCAGTGGAATGTGGCAGCCGCCAGCTAGTGTTGGATAAATTGGTACAACCACTTCAAACAGCAAAAGGTCTAATGGCTGAGTGTATTTCCAAGGTCACATATGGAGGAGCTGAGGACAAATGTTCCTTGCTAACATTTCCCTGACTAATTAATGACAGTGAGATTTTTCTAGCTTGACGAATTCTAGCTTGATGGTTTCAGAGGAGCCACTTACGGTCACAAGGACAGGGTTACCTTAAGAAAAACACAAGGCCCCGGCTTTGTTCATCACCCACACAGACTCTCGCTGTGGACTTGGCACATGTGTCCAAGCTATGACGCTTGCTTGTGTGTGTATGGTTTCCTGGGTCTGTGTCCCCAAGGCACTGTTTCTCTGCGTTGGTAGAGGGTTGATCATAGGGCACAGCCAAAGCCTGTGTACTTCTTCCTCTGAACTAGGAACCATCACAGGCCAAATCCAAACTAACTTATTTCCAAAGCTCGCCCTTCCTCTCCACAGAATGGCACATACCATGTGCACTCAGCAAGAGTCTAAGACCCAACCAAAAATCTATGGAGACAAGGTTTCTCTGTGTAGCCCTGGCTGTCCTAGAACTTGCTCTGTAGAACAGGCTGGCCTTGAACTCAGATCTGTCTGCCTCTGTCTCCTGAGTGCTGGGATAAAAGGCATATGACACCAGGATGGGACCCAAACTAACCAAAAAAAAAAAAAAAAAAAAAAAAAAAAAAAAAAAAA